CCTACGCCACAGGCAGGGAGACTCTTCGCTGCCTGGCTCTGGCTACCATCGACTCACCACCCCCGGCCGCTTCCTATAGTCTGGGAGACTCGGACAAGTTCAAAGATTATGAGGTATGTTTGCAAACTTACTAAGTACGGTCCTCTTAACAGTTGTATAACCAAAAGTGGATGACTATTTCTGGCCTGTTTTCCTTTATTATTATTATCGGCCAGCTACGCCTCCTCGATAGTAGTTCGACGTTTTTCCGCATCCACTAACTGTATTCCCAAGAGGTGTGTTGCGACAGAGCTAGCTTCGTATTGGTCGAACCCAAATTCAACACGGCTAACTAATTAAGAGCAGCCCACTCGCTTAGGCAGCAGATGTTCAAAAGCCCTTTTTTCCTATGTGCAGCAGGTATAACAGTCGTGAACAGTCGTAGTGCTTATTGACATAACGTGGATTTTGTTGTTGTTGGGGCGAATAATATTTATGTTGCCCCGGAAGACTGTTTAACCAATGCAGAGCCACAGTGGCTCATGGCGCGCGAATGTAAGGCTGTGCCTTATTTGTGCAGGCCTGTCGCGTGTCCTAGACAGAGACAGATGGAGGGTCATCCGCCATCCCCAACTTCATCACCACTTGATGTCAATGCTCGGATGGCCAATTGGCACATGGGAGGGGGGCGGAGATTGAGACAGTCTGCGCAATAGGGTTACAGTTGTCTGGAGTTGAAGATTATCGGCTGAAGTAGTAACTCGGTCCTACTCAGAAACGGGCTGCCATCGGTCCTTAGTGGTGCTCCTTGAAAGTAGCCTGATATGCGTACAGTAGGCAACAGGTCGTGCCTGATCGCTGCAAAAGGGTCTACTCAGCGTTATCGGTTACTGCGCCCACGTTCACTCCTGCCGTCTCGTCTATTTCTTGCCATTGCAGTGTAAATAATACTTAAAACTTTGAAATTTATTAACGGGAAAAAAATTTGCTCTAAGTGGGGAGTGTTACGTTTACCCTGCGAAGAAGAATGATCGAGAAAAAGAATTAGCACCCGGCTAAGATGAATTTCCGCCCAGAATCACTAAACGTAAAACCTTTCTTGGTCCATATTGAAAGCGGGGATCCTTTTGGTGATTCTGAAAAGTTCTCAGACGATAGCGCTCACTGCACTAATAAATCCACGCCTGGCTAGTGTGTCTAGGACGAAAAATGCCGGTAGATTTTTG